ACTCACTGCCATCAGCTGCTTTGGGCCCTGATCTTTTGGATTTACCTGCGTGTCTGCCGGCAATGTCCCATGAGGACGATTGTTCAAAGACATCAAAATCTGGCCCATCTGTACTTCAATATTCTTAATAGCCGACTCATGTGTATCTACTCTTTCACTCATTTTTGCATTTGACCCAATAACCTGCTGCATCATTGCCTCGAGTCTAGCAAACCCATCTTTCTGTCTTTCACCATGCTGCTGCTGAGTAGGATGATAACCCTGCTGCAGATTTTGATTATTATATCCCTGTGGCCTTGGGTAAGGCGCCATATTATTTTGAGGTCGCATACCTCCCATGTTTCCATTGTTGAGCTGTGGTGGGACTGGCCTGTATGGCTGATGTTGTTGGCCCCAATTCTGACCACCTTGTCTCTGGCCCCCATAATTAGATACATAGTTCATGTCTTCAGGGTAGTGATGATGATCACTTTCTGCATTCCATTGGTTACAATTGGCTAGTTAATGCAAGATGTGCATAGGCCCCCATTGGTAGTATCAACAATGTGTACCTGCTGCTTCTGCCCTGACTCTTCCACCTTTTTCGTGAGTAGACTCATCTGTGTCATTAATGTGGCCATGTTTTCAGCAAGAGTGTTGGATGGATCTAAGGGCACTGAGTGAACTACTAGAGTGATAGGTGCATTCCTGGTTGTCCACCCCGAATTCTGTGCCATCTTGTCAAGCAGACTCTGGCTTTCTCTCCATGTTTTGCTCAAAAATGCTCCACCAGCTGAAGCATCAACATTACCCTTCACGCTATCTGCCAAACCCATGTAAAACCTCTGCCCCAATATCTGATCTGGAATACCGTGGTGCGGACATATAACCAACATCTCTTTGAATCGTTCCCATGTTTCTTGCAGTGTCTCCGTTGATTTCTGTTTGAAACTCAAAATTTCATCAATTTGTTGAGCAGTCTTGTTGGGTGGATAAAACTTGTTCACAAATTGCTTAACTAACTCCTCCCAAGTCGTTATGGAATTAATGGGGAGTGAGTTTAGCCAAGTCTGGGCAGCTCCTGTTACTGAGAATGGAAACAACAACAGCTTTATTGCTTCCTGAGTTAAGTTGGGCTGCCTTTGAGTTTTGCAGATTGATAGGAAATTCTTCAAGTGCTGTTGAGGATCTTCAATTTGTGACCCCGAAAATAGTCCCTTGTTTTACAACAAGTGCAGCATGTTGTTCGTGATTTGAAACGATTCAGCCTGTGGCTGCGGGACTAAAATTGTTGTGGCCAAATTCTCTGTTGTGGGTTGTGCCCAGTCATATAGAGCAGCCTCTGGCACAAGAGGTGCCGCTGGCGCTACTGGCGCAGCTGGGTCTACCACGTTGTCCCCCATGCCCGGTTCAAATTGTTCAGTTGTTTGTTTTTTCGGTTGGCCCGGTTCAAGGCCTTGAAAACTTTCTCGGGATCTGATAATGCTTCAAATACTTCACCAGTTCTCGATGAGTTTCTAGGCATGCACCTGTACAACCAAGTCAACAAACGTTAAAATTTTCAATGTAAAGATTGGAAGTAAAGAAAACTGACTACACTAAGAATTTTTGTATTTCTTTCAATTGTAATTGATAACACCGTTAATTCCCAGGCAACGGCATCAAAATTTACCACGCCCAACTATGACTTATAAAAAGGAAAAGCGTTCGCTGCAAATATAATCTGAGTATTTAGCCCAGAGTCGAATCCTCAGAGAATTAACCTACCAATTACTTTTGTTAGACTCACTAAATTCTTTGTAATCAACTTCCCAGATATTTAAATAACAATTGATGATGGTTTAACTAACTATAACTGAATATAAGCAAGTAAACTAACAGCTAACTATGATTGAGTTGTAAATAACTAAGAGAAGGATCTAAGGTTATGATTTCCCCTATTGATGGAATCCCTTCCTGTTATGTTTCATATAGATTTGCCTAACCGTCTCTATCGATCATGAGCACTCTTATTACCGTAAATCTCTCTCGAGTAATCACGACAATTTACTAGACGCACTCTCCCGAGTTACGCTAGCTGGCTTTTATTACAGCTCACTCTAGATTGCACCCAAGGCTTCGTTATCCCTAATCCCGCCTTTAAACCCTCAGTTATTGATCCCTCATATACTTCGGGAGTGATGTTGTTCAACAATTACCTAAATATGCACTCTCTCCCGAGTAATACATACTAAATAAGCACAGCTAATTGAGGATCCTATCAATTAACTACAACAAGAACGTAGTTGAACAAATAGAGAATAAATCGGGCAAACTATATTAACATAACACGAAGTTCACCCGTCAATAGGTTCCATAAAAATCCTAGACAAAGTATTTAGCTACTCATAACAAAGCAAGATGAAATCACTAAAGTATTCATGATATCAAAAGTAAGATAACAAAGAGAAGATTGAAAAACTCTAATGGTTGATTGTTCTTCTCACACTTGTTCTTGCCTCCAATTCAGTCTAAAAACAAGCTTAACCTTTGCTTGGGCGAGTTTGTTGAGTTTATAAAGGGTTAGGATAAGTTTCCTCCGATTTAAACTTTAGTCCCAAAATTTCTGGGCAGTTAAACAGTCGACCGCGGTCGCGGTAGAACGCGGCGCGACCGCGGTGAAACACAACTATTCTGCCTCACTTGCTTGGCCTACCGCGGTCCAGCCGCGGTCGACCGCGGTCGCGGTGGCACCTTGCCCAGTCCTCCTTTGCCTCTTTCTTGCTTATTTTCGTTTGGGTTTTCTTGATTGGCCTTTTATCCATATTGTTGACTCCAAAACACTCCATAGTATGTTCCTAACTTGGATTAGTCCCTGCGAAGCAAAAGAACACCAATTAGAGTATTTTGTTATCATTTAGCCTTTGAAACAACAATAAAGTATGATACATTTAGAGTGTAAATTGCGTCTACATAACCTATTATCAAGGTACAAGTTAAATGGGGCCGCGCGTAAAATCTTTACGTTAGAATTAAAGACTATAACTAACACAACCTTGTTCCACAACAAATCTCACACACCAATTAAGGCAACCATCATAATATTTCCACATGGCGGCATATTAACTCCTAGATTCAATGTTTATGCTAGTTACATATTTTTAAAGTTATATCATTTACATGAAAAGGATAAAGGCATTAATCAAGTTAAAATCTCAAAAAAGACAACTGAATAAAATAAAATAATGATAAGGCGGGGACAGCTTTGACCATGGAATAGTATATCCTTATTCACTCCTATCTGCTTCTTAAAAAGTTTAGTAAATAGTATTCCAAGCGCAATGTTCAATCCTGCAGTTTAGCTTCGGCGTAGCATCATCTATCTACCTTGACAATCTTCTTTTTGAATCATAACTGTCAATTCCACAACCCCAATTATCTATTTCCTTTTTCTTTTTTATAAACGGGGATTTATATTAATACTATCATTAAACAAAATTGTTACAAGTAAAAGTTTTACCGATCATTTATTTCCTCGAGTTTCAATTTATGAATCAAAGTTTGACTGAATATTGTGTTTAAAGAAGTTGCTGAAATTTATGATCTTCAATATGTTAGTATTTGAATGATTATAAAGCTTTAAATTTATAATTTTAAATATGTTATAACTTTTATGTAGCCATAAAAACTTATCATTAATGGTAAAATGAGAAAGATAAGTTAAATTGTTTCCAAATTTATAAACTTTGTCATTCCTCTTGATAAAGACTAAAAATGAAATATTACCATTTGAAAGAGAAGAGGGTGTTTTTTTCTCAAACCCAAATGGTTACTCCGTGTTTGACATGATAGAAGCATTCTTCTCAGGAAAATGAGTTTTTCTCTGTTTGATTGTTCAAAAATATTTTTCGAGGGAAAAATAATTTTCTCATTTATTGATGGAAGTCACTTTTGTACAATAATCTTAACTTGTATAACTTCATATGCAACTAATGCTAATGCATTAATTAATATTTAATAGTACTTTCTCCGGTTCACAATAAATGACCAATTTGCTTTTTTATTGGTCCAAAATAAGTGTCCATTTGTATAATCAAAGAAAAAGTTCAATTTATTTTTCCAAAAGGAGTGAAAGACTTTTTAGGGATACATACGTAAAGGTAGTTTGTCACATTAACTATTTTTGTCTAGAATATAGTATTTTCTTAATGGGTATACCCAAAGCAAATTGGTCACTTATTATGGACCGAGGGAGTAACAAGTTTCACAAAAATGCTTTCTGATTTGTTATATATTATTAATTTCTAATGTAAATTTATTTCAGATATTACTCTAACATTAATTTATTCCTCATACCAAACACATTAACATGAAATTACTCCAAAAACTTTTTTAAGAAAAAAGGATATTAGCTTTGAGTCTTAAAAAAATAGTATTCGCTCATGTCCACAATAAGTGATTAATTTGCTTTTTTATTTTGGTTCAAATCCATTTATATAACCAAGAAACAATTCAATTTATTTTTCCAAAATTACCCTCACGTACGTATCCCTAAAAAGTCTTATACTCCTCACATTAATTATGCTGCAACATTTAATTAAGAATAATTTATCATATTAACTACTTTTATCTAGAATTCAATATTTCATTAATGGATGTGCCCAAAATAAATTGGTCACTTATTATAGACCGGAAGAAGTACTCCCCCCGTCCAAAATAAGTGATTTTTTAGCCTTTTTCTTGTGGTCCAAAATAAGTGATTTTTTCAGATTTCAAGAATGAATTAATTATTTTTTTCCTACATTGTCCTTGAAGTAAATGGTGTTGGAATATGTGTTAGGAGTGTTTATGTGAGATAGTATAGGTTAATATGATCAATTTTATTGCTAATTAATGCTAAAAGATGAATTTCTTAATTTGCGTAAAAACATCCAAAAAATCATTTATTTTGGACCGGAGAGAGTATATGTTAGCGGCCTTCACTTTATCTTTCCCTTCCTCTCTTGTTCGTCATGTGAGCTTTATCCCCATAATAATAACCTCTATTCTCCCACACACTCAATGGCAGCTCTTAACTCGAAACTGCTGCAAATATTTCAACCAAATTGAACACGTGCGAGAAATAGCCGCAGCCAGGGACCGTGTAATCACGCGCTGTAAGATGCACGTTTGGAATGTTTTATCGAAATTCGGTCTTTAACAAGTGTCTTGACACTCTGAGGTAAGATATGTAAAAAGCTAAGTTGGTGATGCAATATTTCGATACCAACCAATAGCAACATCAGCCCCCACAATCCAACATAGCAACAAAATCTAACGTTCCTCTCACCATAACACCATCACCACAAACTTTCTTCCCTCCTCCTCATCCTCCTTCACGCGCTGCCGTACTCCGCCGCCGTTCATGGGTGCAGTAGAACCTGTAAGCCCAGCTCCTATATAATTTTCCTGCAAAATATCCATTTTCTTTGGTGATTAAAAGTGGAACTAAATCTTTTTCTGTTTTCGTTTTTTTTGTTAGGTAGTTGAAGAAGAAAATGGAGAAAAGGAGACTAAAATACGAGAAGAAGAGAGAGATGTGGAGAAAGGTGAAATGGGTAGTCAACAAAGAGGATTTCAGACGCAGCGCCCACCTCCGTACCAACAACCACCTCCACCAGCAACAGGCAGTGATAATTTTAACATGTCGAGAATGCAAAGATTGAGTGCTACAAATCCTCTTAGGCTTGTAATGAATGCCGGAACTAGAGTTGCTTCTCCTTCTCCTCCTCCTTATCATCACGCTCCGCCACCTGCAGCTCATCATCAGCACCGTTCTTTTCCGATTCCTTTTCAGCACCGCCCTTCTCCGCCGGCTCAGGCTCCGCCTCCGTCTCAGCACCGCCCTTCTCCAGCACCTTCTCAGACTCGCTCCACCCCTGCCACTACTCCTCAAGTATGTCTCTAAGCTGTAACTGTAATTACTTTCTTCCTTTCTTTTTTTGTTCACTGGAAAAAGGTCCAAATTTACTTTTTTGCTTTAAAAAAATATCTTAATTTTACCGTCCGTTACACTTTGAGGCCCTTGATACCATTGACGTTAGCAAATCATCTTGATTGCCCTTGACTTTGACGGAGCTCGAGCGTGCCTGTCAAAGTACTTTGGGAAAAAAATCCAAATTTAATCCATATGTTTGACCATGGTTAAAATTATCTTCCATTATACGTTGATTAGGGTCCATGTTGGAGCTCCATCACGCTCAAGTATAAATACAAGACATATGTTAGTGCAATACTAAAGTATAACGGACCATAAAATTAAGATATTTTAAATAGCAGATTATTTATTTTTTACCCTTTTTCCTGTTTTTCATTTCATTTATATTTGATAAAAATCTGAACTTTTTTCCCTTTTTTGGTCCGACCAGCAACCTTCAGTAATAACACTGAATTCAAGATCCTATACGAACAAGTTTTCACTTTTTATCTTCCTCCTACACATGATTGCGGCAATTGGACTAGTTGGTTTTCTTCTATTCAAAGGGATACAAGGCCTAATAGAAGCAGGGGAAGCACAAAGAAAGGAAAAAAGGCTACTAAAGTATTTCTTACCGCAAGTAGAAGCAGCTGCTCTACTTAGTATAACACTAGCATTTATATGGCAAAAGGCAATGAGAGTATGGCCTACATTCATGGTTCATTTCATACTCTGGGGTTCCTTTATTCTCACGTTATCAGCTGGAATCCTATTGATTTGCTTCCAAAAACCTGCAACTGATGGTGTTGGAGTTGTGTTTATTATGTTTGCAATTGGCAATGGATTGTACTCTTGTTGGGTGACACCAAGAATCAAGTTCTGTACCAAGATTTTAATCAAATCTCTCGAACCCGTATCGAAATTCCGTGATTTAAACCGGCCAACTTACATAACACTTTTTGTTGGATTCTTGTGGATGTCAATGTGGATTTTGGCTGTGATTGGAGCTATAAATTTTTATTTTCCACCGTTGATTATTATCTTATTGGTTCTGAGCATGGCTTGGATTACTGAGGTGATGAGGAATGTGGTGAATTTGACAGTGAGTAGAGTGATTGCTCTGTATTATCTAAGAGGGATGCAATCTAGCACTCAGTTTTGTTTTCAGAGGGCATTGTCTGTGAATCTTGGGAGTGCAAGCCTTGGTTCTTTATTTGTACCTGCAATTGAAGCGCTGAGGATTGTGGCTCGCGGGTTGAATTTGCTAGAGGGTGAAGATGAGTTCATGTTTTGTTGTGCTCATTGTGGATTGAAAATCATGGATTCCATCTTTAAGCGTGGCAATGGCTGGGCTTATGTTCAGGTACTTTAATTCTTAATTTTTCTTCTAGCTCTTCAGTTTTTCTATCCTTTTTCTCTTCTTTTCTTTTTAATTATAAACTGAAAAAATGCTCTCACAAATATAGTAATAGAATAGATTGTAAAAGAATTGCTGTTATTAGTATGATAAGAAAATTCTTATTTAAAATGAAAGTTTGTTTCCAAATTTGACAGTAATAGAAGTTTTAGGACTTAGTAATCTTTCATGCGGAGTATAACGTTAAGCAAAAAAAAAAGTGTGATTCGTTAATTGTTTTGATTTGTTAACGTTTTGACTTTTGAGTGCAAGTTTCCGATTTTACGAAATTTAACTACTGTGCTTGGAGTTTATATTAATTCATATATTATGTCGTTCGGTTAGTACATAGTAATGTCCTGTTTTTGGGGTTGACTGGTATTTAGGCAGTAATAACAACCCTTAAAATGGAGACATTTTTGATGATCTAGGGATTTCTGAATGATAATTTGCTAGGAGTTTCTAGGATTTACATTCGATGTTGGCGTTGTTATCTTATGGATTAATTTTCCTAAAAAAAATCGATGTCACTTTGACTAAGTGAAGCGTGGACATCTAATTTACTTTTTTTTGCTCCCATCGTACTCAGAGTAATAGTAATTTACTAATTTGTTTTGGGGTCATTCTCATTTTATAACTTAATACGGGCGTTTCCGACTTGTTAAATGTATTTTTAATACATACGTAGAGTTAGCAGTCATAATTCCCTTTCGCCTTCAATGCGGTGTGAGTTGAGATGTCAGCAGTTTCCTTAAGATATTTTTTCAAATATTCAGAAAAAACCATATAAAACTCACTCCAACTTGCACCATTTTGCAACCATATTTAGTTGGCGACTCTTTGATACATCGAATTCGTGCTTAATTATTCGGAAGTTTGTCACTAAGGATTGTCCATCACACAATAATTCAAAATAAGTTCTTTAATTAAATTTAAGTTGACTAAACACGCTGATGAATTATCAAATTTACACAACCTTCTCCCATTATTCAATCTTGGATAGGCGAGTTTACATATGCAATTGTTGTTTAATTAAATGTAACGCTGATTGGGAAAATATTTTCACAGATTGCTACATATGGGAAAAGTTTTGTGAAGGCATCACAAGACACATGGGAGTTGTTTGAAAAGAGGGAAATGGAGACAATAGTAGATTCGGACATGACCAGTGCCATTTGCTTTCTGACCGGAGTTTGTAGCGGTTCTATTTGTGTCATTGTTGTTGCCGCTTGGACTGCCACCGTCTACCCTAATTTCATCGCCACCTTGTCCCTCCTCTCTGCCTACATCGGTTACCTTCTGGTCAGTCCTTTTTCTCTTATAACAAAGAAAAACTTTTCCCTCTTTATTGTTTGTTTTATATTCGTGCTTACACATTAAATTGACATGTATTTATTGGTTTGGCGTCAGACTAGGATTGCCATGGCTTTGCCTCACGCTTGCGTAAGTAGTTACTACGTATGTTATGCTGAGAATCCCGATAACAGATGTTTTGACAAGTCGATAATTCAAGATCGACTAAACTTAATGAAGTCTGATCGTGACGTGATTGTGCCAACGCCTAGATCAGTTCCTGCTCGATTTGCACGGTAGCTCAATTATGGAGATGTACATAATTCTTTTCAAGATTAACCATTGTTAGATCAATTTATAAGTAGCAAAATGTGCTTGATATATGGATCAAGCTTGTGTTTTCCCCGTCGAAATGGACTGTAACAACTATTTGTGAAATTAGTTGAAGTGCGCGCAAGTTAATTTGTAGGAGAAGAAATGATGATGTGAAATAACCATCAGGATTGGATTCTTATGAAAAAAAAAAAAGGGGAGTGCCCACTCAGATTTCCCAACAAGAAGGCCACGAGGAGGTGTCTTATGGTACTGTCTTTTGTATTTATTTAATAATTGATAAGTATATACTATTGTGGTTGGTCCCACCACTATTTTATTGTCAACATCTTAGTTAGGTAAACCTAATGTTATTTAATTAGATTTCATTCTTTACGCAATCATGTAAAGTTAGAACTAATTATTTTCATTTTTCAAATTTTAATCATTTTTTTTCTGTTACTTGGTTGGTGGAACCATAGATAGAATATAAATGGGTCGAAAATCCCCATCAGTTGTTCTAGTTGCATAGTATTATTTATTTATTTACTTTTTCGACCATGAACGTGACAAAGTCTTATTTATATGATTATCTGCGATAATACCTAAGTATTAAAGAAATAAAAGTTTCAAATTTACTAGGATTACCTTTTGTTGTTGAATAAAAAAAGTGTTTTTTTTTACTTTACTTTTCTAGGATAAACTAATGCGATTTAACCAAAAGTAGTTCATAATGTTTGTTTACTATCCCGAAATAAACTTAGCATGTAAAGAAAAGTTGGTTGAAAAGATGGAGCACCAAACTAAATATAATATGCAGTGGTGGTATTAGTTTATCTTAGTTTGATTTGCTGGAGAGCAAAAACAAGGTCGTTAATCTAGAAAATAGGGAATAATTTTATGTGGGAATAAAATGAAAATTGCATTAATCAAAATAGAACAACTTTCATAGGACACGTAAGCTGTCCACTATACGTACCAGATTTCAAGACATGACACGTGAGGCATGCAATCGAATGCACATGCATAGTGATGCATTACTTTCGCCACTTTTACTTTGTAACTCTTTTTTAGTTACCATTTTTCTATCTCTGTTCGATCCTTCACTTTTGAAGCTTGGATGCTAATCAACTTTGCGATGAAAAATTGGGTGAGAAAGTTTGATTGGATCCAAAATATTCCTATTTTCTTAGCCCATAACGTGAAAATATGTGACAATATGGATGTAATGTAACAAATGACGAGAGTCGATATGGATGAATCTCTTTTGTTTTCTATAGACTTTATATGTTGGTTTCAATAATCTTTTTCAATGTTTAGGTCCTTTTCCTTTGCTTGCCCTATATATTAGAACGAAAAGGGGATCATTTCTTTTAGGTGAAAGTTTCAATTCCTGTCTGAAGGTCTTAGATTTAAGTACGAACATGAAAATTTCTTGGTAGGAAGTATTTTACTTCTTTAATGGCCTACTTAATGCAAATTCATACTAATCGGGCTTAGTAGGTTTTGAACATAACGTGTCTAAAGGAGAAAAAAACTAACGAGATTCAGGTATATATATCTACAAATAAATTATATTGAACAAACGTAAAGTCAATTTTAGAGATATTAATCACCACGTAGAGAAAATTCAGATAAGTATAACCGTAAGTGGACTAATTTCATATAAAAACAATGAAGTCGAACTTCAAAATTTTATGTTCTTGAAATCTCGACTGAAGTATTTGCTACTTCCCTTGTCTCAAATTATCTGTCATATTTTTTTTTTCATATCTCCTAAAAATATTATTTAAAAGGTATTTTTGACTATTTTACTCTTATTTAATATAATCTATTTTTATTTTCATTTATGTGTTATGTCCATTTTCAAAGAACATATAATTTGAGACGAAAGGAATTAGACTCCAGTGTCATACAACAATAAACCGTTGTCTCAAAGTCAAGTGGATAGAAGTGAGAGAAAAAGACAAATTATGGTGATGCATTTATCAAAATAGATAAACAATGATAAAAAATCCTCAAGGCTATTGTAGTGGTTAAAGAAGACAAAGCTTTGTTAGCCAAAAAGTTGGGTGTAGTGTTTCGTGACTCACCATGCAAACTTTTCCTATTTAATTTGTTATTTCCACATAGATATTGTTATATATTAAAGTACTTTGTTTTGGCTTTAAATGGATACGTTCACTACTGTTGCTTGTAGGGCCTAAACTTTTTCCTCATCCTCACGCTTTTTGCCGTGTTTATATATTGCTACATGTATATTTCATGGCTTCCGTTTGTTTGTTTTCGTTATTTGTTCCGTTTCTTATGCATGAAAAGGGAGAAACTAAAAGTAACAAAAGCTGTTTGGCGTTCTGTTATTTCTTTGTTTCTGTTAACACACTTTTTTTTTTAGAATTTCAAGTTATGCATTTAACACAATGCTAGCGATTTGTTAGTTTCACGAATGGTTTCTTTTATGTTCCACGTGAGAGTTTTTGACCAATATTATCTTTTATCTTTGAGGGTAGGTGTATTTTGGTCCCTCAATATAACCATGAACATATTTAGTCCCTTAAGAATGTTAAAGTGGAGCACATTTAGTCTTAGTGACACAATGTGTTTAAAAACTAACGGTGTTACCCAACTCTTATTCATTAAGCAAATCTTCTGCTCTGAAGCAAAATGTTTCCTCTCCTTTTATTGGATAATGTAAATTATCACTTTAATTCCTCATTTTTAGATAATGCCATCTAAAATTTGACCTTGAAAATATCCCCTTCTGTGCCAATTTTCAATAAGAAATGACACTGTATGGCCGCTGTAAAAATAATAGCCGAAAAAATATATAAAATTTGTATTTTTTTTTTTGTGTGTATATATATAATTTTTGGTTGATTTTTCCAAAAAGAAAAGTTAAAATTTGAAAAAAATAGAGTTGTTAGGATCACTTCTAGGCATATTATTAAAGCAAACGAATAACCATGTTGTATTATCACTTTTAGCCCGTGCCAGAAACTATTTACGTATGGTAGACGAAAAAGTATGTAAAATTTATACAATTTTTGTATATTAACATACAAAATGTATATATACACAAAAAAATATACAAATTTTTTATACATTTTTTCGGCTATTATTTTTACAGCACCTATACAGTGTCATTTTCTCACGAAAACTGGCACAGAAGGGGCTATTTTCAAGGTCAAAATTTTAGAACACATTATTTAAAAATGAGGAATTAAAGTGATAATTTGCGTTATCCAATAAAAGGAGAGGAAACGTTTTGCTGCAGAGCAGAAGATTTGCTTCATGAATCAGAGTTGGGTAACACCGTTAATTTTTTAACACATTGTGTCAGTGAGACTAAAGGTGCTCCACTTTAGCATAAGGAACTAAATATGCTCAGGGTTATATTTGAGGGACCATAATAGATCTACCCTCAAAGATAAGGGATAAAATTAGCCAAAAACTCTTCCACGTGATGTGATATTGCTTTTTTTTTTTTAATTTTTAATAATACGTTTTAAAAAAGAGATATATTTATATATTAAAAAATAATTTAACTTTAAATTTCTCATTTTATTAAATGACAAAATTGTATAGCCACGTAAATGTTATAACGTGTTTCATACCACAAATTTATATATTTTTCGTAAACTCTATATTCAATCATACACATTTATATTCAACTGAAATATATAGTGGGAGTATAAGATAGGCAAATATTATATTGCCTACATCCAAAATAGATTTGCCAAGACGAGGAAGAAAGGTCAATCACAAGAGAGATTTCAATTGCAAAACAAGCTTTGAAAAAATTGCTTCTGTTTGGCGACAGGCAATCATGCTAGGTTATGTTTTTATTTGTTTTGTCCCGTTTTAAAAATAATTGAACAAAGGCACAGGTTTGGTTAAATTATTTTATAAAAAAATAAATGACATGAGCTACAAGAATTGTATGGTGAGCTGCATTGAACAGTAGTACATTGATTAATGTTTTGTACTTTTAATTAAACTACTCAAATCTATATATTTTTCAATAAAGTTTTTCATAACAAGATTTAAGATAGTGTGTTACACCACATGGCTACAAGATTTAAGATAGTACTAACATATGTTTGCTATGAAGCTAAACATTTTATATCTTGTAAAAATACTACGTTATAAAACTATAAACACCAAAACAAAAAGGGACACTCCTATTTTGCATACTTGAATTTTTATGTTATAATCCAACATGAAACTTCCCAACTGTATACTTGCAGAACTAAGAAACTCGGTCGCCGAAAAATTCAAAAGGCAACCCAAAGGAATAATGCGATATTCTCAATCAAGTTATCAATACCTCATATTTTCTGTCACAACTTGGTTATGGTGGATTCGGATTTTTATCTAAAAATTTGTATTTGAAGCCAACCATTATCTATTTAAAAGATTTGTGAATTAGATAGGAGTCAGTGTATTATAGAAATTTGAATATCTCTTTAATGACAGAAAGTGAACGGCACTTACGATCATAATTATGCATTCATATTTCAAAGTGTCTAGAGGAACATTATGCAATCATCATTTTGTCACTTTACCAAATGCAACGTGATTACAATCATGTCTTATGAAAATCTTCACGACAACTGAGAGGTGATCTTCCTAATTACACGTTGGCTCTCGATCAGGCGGAGACTTAAATACTAGAATGGAAGATTTGAACCGGACGAAGTTATGAAATTTCTAAGAGGCATCACATATTTATTTTACATATAATGGGAAACACGTATCAATGTGATTTAAAACCGGTAGACATTCTATTAGATGAGAGTGATTCTCTAGGAATTTATATTAGATCAACCGTTAGGACATCACTTTACACTGATGCTAGTGAATATGCAAGTCATGCGCATGATGTGGTTTCTTATTGGAACGATACTATTATATTCCAAGTACTCACCGAAGAAGTCGAAGAAAGTTGTTGGATACCAAGGAGAAATAGCAAGGAAACTATTCAATTTAGGGACATGATCAATAGCACAACAAAAAAACGTCCTGCTATTTTCTCTTCTCAATAGTTTGATTGGACAAAATTAAAGAAAGACAGAGAAAACTAGCAAGAAGAGTTTTGAGATATTTTCTTTTTTCCCCTTCTATTTTTTTCTTTCTTTTTCTTTTCTTAGAAAAATAAAAAAAAGAAATAAGAATAAAATAAGAAGAGCAAGATGGAATTATATTCTTCTACGTACTCTTTTTGGTTCGTTCTTTAGTAAATTGAGAGGGAAAGAATTCAATGAAAATGCTCAACTTCGTATATTATAGAACACTTTTCTCATTATTAGACGGCAAAATAGTCTCCGAGCAACCTAAACTTGCATCCGTTTTGTCAAGTATAAGTGTTTAAATGGGAAACTCTTAAGTTCACTTACCGGGTTGGCAAACGGGTGCAAGTTTAAGCGGCCTGCCATTTTGCCTTATTAGAAAGGAGATAAGAT